TTGATTCCAGTGTGTAGTGTTTGTCACACAGGGTGGTAGTACTTGCTTTCTGACACACTGCATTGTGAATGGCATGAGCTACTGCATAAACAGCTTTATACACCATGTTAGTAACTCTTAACTGGGATGTGTCCGTGTACGGACTTTTGAGTGTTTTTAGGTCTTCAGTTCCATCGCACACTTTTTTTTGTGGATCAGCATCTACAAGAAAAAATAAGACACTAATCAAACAAAGTGGGTAGGAAATATAAATAAATAAATAAATAAATAAATAAATAAAAAGAAGTCATCAAAATCTTCTCACTTTCTGTCAGTGTACAATGGAAAGCATCCTCCCAGAACTCAGTAAGCACTGAGGAGGCAGCAACTTCAGTGGGAGAGAGATCCAGCAGGAAGTTTCTCAGACCTGGAATGACAGATCGCTGAATGCCGACTCCAATGGCTCCTGCACAGAAACTAAAGCCCAACAAGTCCAGATCAATTATCCATCCCTCACTTCCTATCCACTGACGAGGTGGTGGTGGTTCCCGAGCCAGCTCCTCAAACAGGACCCTCACTTCTGAAGGGGCAATATATGCCACAACTACAATTGCTGTTGATCTGGAAAGACAATGAAAAGTGTTGACATAAACTAACACATACTAGATTTTTACAACATTTACTTTTGTTAGAAAATAGAGAAAATATGTAGGTCTTTAAATCTTGAATGTTAGCAATTTTTGCTATTATTTATATCCTTTATGTGACAAATAATTATATTTAAAGAATTATTATTTTTTTCTTAAACACAACACTGCTAGTGCTTCCACATTATTACATAGAAACAAGCAAAACTAGAACTGCAAAGCAGTTATGACCGGGGTCCAAGCCCTTTTATGCATGTCAKTCTTTGTCATGTTGTTTGTAGCATATTGTTGATCTTTTAGCTTCTTGGACAAATTTCTCTCCAACAAACGCAGTAAATAAATAAAATTTGAGAAGTTTGAGCAGAATAATTTGTTATATATCACATACTTTATGCTGTGAATACTAGCTCTGTAGGTCAAATGTATGATTTTTCCTGTTATGTACAAGCCCTGTCCACTTTTAACCAATCATTACCATAT